TTTTTTTTGTAATCCATGATAGAATTTTTGGAAAATTTGTGATTTTTTTTTTTAATCCATGATCGAATTTTTTTTGTAATCCATGATAGAATTTTTTGAAAATTTGTGATTTTTTTTTTAATCCATGATCGATTTTTTTGAAAATTTGTTTTTTTTTTTTAATCCATATTATTTAAAGAGAAAATGAGAGAGATGATGATTCTGAGGCCACCCTATCCCAGCCATATTATTCACATATCGAGTCCCAACAGCAATAGTGTAGGGACGAGCACGACAGTGCAGATGAGTATGAAGGATGGACAATCTTCGAGGATTTTAGATTGGGAACACAACAAAACACTAACACTCAGGGATTTGAGAATAGTCAAACGCCTGCTAATATCGATGATTCGTTTTTAGATCGAATCAATGAATTGTTAAACGAATTCAATCAATGGCACCAGCGTGACCAAGAAGAACAATAACGTCGTCTATCATTTTATTTTTAGATCATATGTTACTAATTTTATGCTTTATTGTAGTCCATGTATATTGATATACTTATTTCATGATAATTACATGTTTATCCTTTTGTGTGATGTAAATTAAAATGCTAAATGGCGGTTCATGTAGGAAAAGAACATATCAATATTCGCATATTCATTCAAAAACATGAAAATTCTTAATGGAGTACCCTCATTTCTTATTAAATTCCTAAAAAACAATATTTATAATGAATTTTAATAATTTTCAGATTTTTTTAAGCTTTATTCTGACCGATTCACCCGATTTCCGATCCGGATCGCCGATTCGCCGATCCGGATGGGTTTTTTGGAAGCCCGATCCGGGTCACCGATCCGTTTTTTAAACCATTGGTTGAAATGAATTTTGAAAGCTTTAAATTTGATAATTAGAAGTTGAAATGAATTTTGGAGCCCTAGCAAAAACTTTCAACACCGAAACCATATTTTTCTAACAAAAATTTGAAGCTAAATCTCATTTTGATTGTTTAAGGTGGCACCTTATACAAATATCACCCAAAAACAAAAATGAGATAAAGAGAGGACCATGAAAAATGAGGAATGATATTTTCAAAATGCGGTCGATACAAAATCGTTGTAAAACGCTTGTCATTAGCCCGTGCAACGCCAGTACTTTTTTCCTCAACCTAAAGATTCCCTACTCCTTTGAGCCCTACGACAAAACACTCTATATGTCAAAATATGAGGATGCAATCTCTACAACCTATTGACTAATATGAGTAAAAAAAATCAGAAACTAACTCTATATGTATTAAAAATAATAATAATAATAACGGAATAGAGCCTGTTCAATTTTTGAAAGGCTAGATCTAAGTGTCATAAAACTCAAAATCCAAATATTTTCTTTTAATAATAATCATCTAGTAATTTTTATGTGTTCCCGAAATTTTAGACTAAACAAATCTTTGTA